TAGTTGCATGGTTTTATGCCACCGTTATATGGTAATTTTGTATTTTATCTCATAATATATATATATATATAATAATGATACAATTTGGTTAATATTTATTGTAGGTGAGGAAGAAGTAGTTGAGGAGTATATTAACATTGAACCTCCTCCACCTTCATCAAGTGGACCTACTTTTAAGAGTTCTAATATTTTTTTTACAGATGATGATGGGGATGAGAATTTAGATTTTAGAATATTTTAATTAATTTAGTCTTCTAATGTGTGGAGTTTAATTTCTTAAACATTATGGGTATCTTTATTTGTTTTATTTTGAATTTTAGAATATGTTAATTAATTTATAATGTTTAATTTTATTTTATTTTTTTAAATAGGGTTTATGGGCACGACTAAGCCCTTCAAATAAGGGCTGAGCCTTAAGAAATGAGCAAAAAATGAGAAACTAGGCTTATGGGCTCATCCCCATATGGGCCCGACCTATAATGGCTAAGCCCGCTCGTTTCTCAACTATATGAAGACACGTTTTGTGTGAGAAAGATGATGAAGGTTGAAATTTTAAATAACTTTCTACATTGGTTGCTAGGGTAATCAATGTAGATAGTGCTTTTTACATCAGTTAGCATTAAAACTAATGAAAAAAGTGTGTATTTTTTTAAATTTTTTTAAATATTCAAAGTACTTTCTACATCAAGTAGAAAGTACTCGATAAAAAGTATGACTTTTTACATTGATTGGAAAAGCACCTGGTGTAAAAAGTCTAATAATTATGGCTAATATTATGAAATTGTCATCGATTTGACTTTTCTCTTGTAAAAGCCAAATTCTATACTAGTGTCATCACATGATGTGTAAGATAGAGCAGAATCAATGTGCCCTTTCTTAGGGCCGCTTGAGAAGAGTACAAGGTTGGTTACAAGGATGAAAGAAAAGTTTGATAAGTATTGAAATGATTATAGTGTTATGCTTGCACTTCCAATGATTTTTTATCCACAATATAAATTCAATATGATATAATATTTTTACACAAAGATTCACTTGCCATGAGAAGGTTGCTAATATCAAAAGCAAGTTAAATTTCATTTTTTTTAATGAATATTAAAATATGGAGACATTGTATACTAATGTTGGAGGTGAATCAAGTTCTAAAACTTCAATTGTTATGACTAGGGCCATGGAAGCCATAAGGCAAGTGAGGCAACTGCCTTAGGCCTCCAAAACAAATTATTCATACCCTTATTATATATGTGTATAATTAATATTTGTATTATTATATATTTAATTGTAGATAAAAAATAAAAAGTATTGATTGTTTTTCCTATTAAAAAGTTCTAATCATTCCTATTGTAACATTAATTATTAAGTTGAGTTCATTATCTACATAAAAAAAAAAGAATAGTGAGATTCATAATATGCTAATTTACACTATATTAACTTGCGTTAAATTTCTCCCACGATCTCACTTTTCATTTTCTCCTTTTCTTATTCTAAAGCTTAAAAATTTTAACAAATATTAGTATCAAAACTTTATGTAGTTTTAGACCATCAACGTGATACCTTTAAGTCTTATTAAAAATATTATTTATAATTTATATAATTATTATTAGTTTTTCACATTAATCATTGATATTATTAGTCTTAATTATATCTTTTTTGTTAAAAATGTATTGCCATCTCATATCATTGTTAATATTCTATCCTAATATATAAGATAGAGTAGGAGTACTTCATCAACACTAATTTTCATTTAACTATTCAATTAATTTAATATTTTACTAGGATCACTACATTATAAAATTTTAATATACAATTTTGTAAAAAATGATGAGTGCACTTTTTTTTTTAAGGAACAATTACACATGCTAGGCTTTACTAATAATTTTGCCTTAGGTCCCAAAACATCTTAACACAGCCCTAGTTACAACTCATTATGTGTATCAAACTTCAAGTATCTCAATAATAACAACAACCACCACCACCACTTTTGATGATGCATTTGATGTATGTTTTTAATACTTGTCAATTAAGTTTGTTATTTTTTAATCTTGTTTTACTTTATTAATATTTAAGTAATATTTATTTAATTCTTTACAAATTACAATGCAAGATTATTAAGACATTTATATGAGTATAGATAATTATTGAAAAAAATTAATCATGTGGTCTTTATAGTTTTGACCTAGTTATAACTTAGTCCCTAAATTTTAACTCGTTATAGCTCAATTCTTATAGTTTTAACTCGATTATAACTTAATCGTTAAATTTTGTCTTTTGTAACTCAGTCTCAATAGTTCAACCATTTAAATATTGATCCTTATATTTAAACAAATAAAATTATAAAGATTAAAAGAGTTTAGTAATTTAAAATGTTAGTCATAAATTTTAACAGAAGTTTAATCTTTACAATTTTAATTTTTTTAAGATTTAGGGACTAATATTTAAATTATTAAAAATATAAGAACTAAATTGCAATAGTCAAAGTTTAGGAACTAAGTTACAACCGAGTTAAAATTTCATGAATTGAGTTATAATTATTCAAAGTCGAGGGACTTAATTACAACTGAGTTAAAATTATAAAACCTAAATAAATAATTTTTCCTTAATTTTTCTATGAATAAGTTTGAACTGGAGAATTATCTGGATAAACCAATACTTATGCCTCATAATTAAAAAGAGTTAGGAGTTTTAAAGTGCTGCATGAACAAGCAATATTGATTTTCAGTTATTTCTAGAATGACCACTAATATTTTAAATATTTCAATCATTACCATGGCTAGTGAATAAATTTTTAGTACTAGCTCATGTGTTTTGATAAAGTATTGGAGTTCTCTTCTTTTAGATAATGTTAAGATTATCATTTGTACTCATAATTGGTTATGTGGTTTTGAGTTGAAAGGTAATTTACTATTATTTATTTACTTTGAATAGTTTTGCATACTTTGAATATTTTGAAATTATGATTTTAGTTTATTATTTTTTTTTGCAAATAATGAGGCTAAAGAAGAAAGATATGAAAAGCCTAATATATATCCCGAAAATGATCAAATTATATTGATGTTGTTGATTATAATGACAATGACAATCATCATGATGTTGTTGTGATGTTGTCAAAGTCTAATTAGTATTGGTGTTGATTTTGATGATGTGACTATTTGATATTAGATTTTGATGTTTAAATTTTACATATTTGATATGGTATCAATTAACTTAAATTTATTTTTTTAAACTTAATTTTATGTGTAATAACTTTTTTTGAGATTATAAATATAATTCTTTAAGTTTTTATATTGAAAAAAGGAAAATATATATATTAGGGTTAAAGGGCCAATTAAGGGCCAAGGTTGAGTTTTGCAATATAGAACTCTAAGATATAATTGGTTTAATAAGGCTTATCTTTTCAAGCCTAACCCTTCAAAGGCCAGCCCTAATTCCTAACTTTGGATGCCTAATTACATTTTGATTGAATATTGTGAATTAATAATGTTTAATTTTTTTTTGAATTTATATTTTTCTTCAATAATGTTTAGATTACCAAAAATAGGGAAATTTAATTTTTTTTATATTTGAAATTTTTTAATTTTCAATTTAGTCCTTAAAATTTAACTCAAAATAACTCATTTTTATAGTTTCTTAACCCAATACAAGTCAATTCCTATAATTTTTTAACTCAATAAATTATAAAGACTAAATCATATCAAATTAAAATTTAAAAATTAAATTGATAATTGAAATAAAGTTTAAAAATTACAAGTTATGTTATCTCACAAAATAATTAACCATATTAAATTTTAAATTAATAAATTTTTTATTTACCTATAAATATCTTTCTATTGAAAACAATATTATTCAAAATATTATCAAAAACTAAATGTGGCCACCTTTTCTAATAAAAATTTAATTATTAATTTATTATATTATATATAACTAACTTCTTTCACTAAACTCAAACATTAAAAAACAAAAAAAAAATACGTTGACTTCTCGTCAATCAACTTAAATCAGTTCATGAGGCAATTATCAACCCGCAAAAATACAAACAACTTGTAACTTATTTCCTCTTCACATGGAGTTGTGGGGCAGAAGTGTCTTTTTCTTTTTTTGGGCGAGAGGGCAAGAAGCGAAAGTCAGGGTTTCAACTTTCAACAAGTGAGGTTCATCGTCACGGGCCTATCGAGAAATTTTTTTTTTTTTTTATGTATCAAAAAATTATCATTAATTAGAGTTATCTTCAATTAGTGGACAACACTAATTCAAGCCACTGATCCATCTTTAAGCAAATTTAATCTACAAAAAAGTAAATTAATTAAATTATTCTGGATGACATTGCAAGTCTCACTCTCACTTTAAGGTATTCCTCGTATTATTTCTATTTCTTTTGTGCTTGATCTGAATCTAATATTCGTAATCTAAATCTTCCTAAAAAGTAGTCAAAAAGAGAAATGCTACTTTCACAACTTTTTTCGCGGGAAAAAAACTCATTTAAAAGCACTTTCTCCGAACGTAATTATAAGAAACTTTATAAAAAATTCATGTAGTCCTTAATATAAATCACTTAACAAAATGTTTGAAGCGTTTAAAAGCAAAAAGAAAAAAAAGAAAAAAAAACACACACACACACAATTTAATAACTTTAATTAAGAGTAATTTTAGTATATTGTGATAATTTTCAAAAAAAAAAAATAAAACCACTTTTCTTTACATATATATATATATATATGTGAGATACTTCCTCCGTTAAAAAATATAATGCATTTTTAATTGAATCTTATCTTTCAATAAAATAATTACTTACTTTCAAACTAACTCTATCTTTTAATATTTATCCCTATTAAACACCCTATAATAAATATAAAGTCATTATTAATAGGGACACTTTTGAGAGAAAAAAAGGTAATAATTACACCTCAAAAAATTAAAAATACCTTACATTTTTTAACATTCAACTTTTCAAAAAATGCTTTACATTTTTTAACAAAAGGAGTATATCATTCGGCATGAACTAAGGCTGAAGAAAGTATAATGCATTTACAGGATTTATATCTCAGATACATAATTAGATCCCTTGAAGCGCGCTTCAACTGAATGTAGAGAGACATAGAATAGAAGATCCTTGTAAATTTTAATGGATGCGTCAAAAAACAGAAATATCGAAAACAGAAGGAACATCCTTATGCTTCAAAGATGAAGAACCAGATTTCAAGAATCCAACACAATTATCCCATGAAGGAAAAACTTCTAAGTCCGCACACTTCTAAAAAAACCTTGATAGAATGATTAAAGAACATCCAAGCATAAAAAACAATGAAATGCCTGTATGTCCATTCATGATTAATTTGATCTACAAAACTTATTGTGGACTGAATCTGCCTAAGAACTTTTCTCAACGTAGACTAAAAAAGCAACTAGGCCATCGATGACACGAAATCATCACATTACATCAACTTACCTCCATCATCATCTAAGGGGTCACGAAGAGTCCCAAACATCCAATCCATCCAAATGGTGAAATGGCCGTAGTTATGGCGATAAGTGGTATGATGAATGGTGTGGTATCCAGCACCCATGACAGGCCACAATTTGGCATGAATACAGTCATGGATATTTGCAGTCCAAATGGCCTCAATGAATATAGCCACTAGGTGTGTAGTTAAATGAACTGGGATGATGAACAGAGCAATACTATGTGGCAATGCCTGAAGGATCCCATCAAGAGGGTGAAATGCCAAACCTGAGATTTCAGATAGCAAAAAAATTACAAAATAATCAGTCAGCTCCTCCCTATTGTGAAATGATAAGGATCTTGCAGAGGAAATTGCTGAATTTTAGTCCCAAAGATGCTGACATATGTTTTAGGTTATGTGTATGACTGTGTGCGTCATAATATGCATGTATATGTGAATGCGTATCACTTATTTGTGAAAGGGAAGGAAGAAGACGCTGAGCTAAAGAATGTTAAGAAAAAATAGCATAACCAAAATTTTCAAATAGGGGTGTGTGCGTCTAACAAGACAATAAGTTGCTACTGCACATTCCAGCTAATCTGAAGTTGAACTACAAAACAAAAACCAAAGTCTAGCTACAATATAGAAGAAACTTCCAAATCTTCCCGCTGCCTGCCCAAAATGAAAAATATTGAGTATATCATGTTCATACCAGCAAATGGGGAGAGAGTATTCTGTTTATTGTAGACGTGATGAGTAGCATGAAGATACTTGTAAAGTGGTTTTATGTCATGCAACTCTCTATGCATCCAATAAATGCCAAATTCCACAAAAATTTGGTAAATGGCTAAATATACAAGGAAGGCAAGCCAGCTGATATTATTTAATCTTGGAAAACACTTTGTCCAGCCAATTTCTGCCAAGTACTCAGATATAGTCGGAAGTGCACAGTACCAAGGCATTGCTTTCATTGCAACAGATATTTGCAAGAGCATGGCTTTACGAGAGGGAATGGCATCTGTAAGAAAAAGAATTTCAATAGATCAACTAAAAAGACATAATATGAGGCTCTATGCATGAATAAGACCCCGGAATAATGAGATAAACAGACAACCATGCTCCCAAAAAAGAAGAAGAAGAATGCTTAAAAATGGCATGGTTAAGATTTGATATATGCTGACAATGCATACTTCATGGAATCTAGAGCCAACCAAACACAGGTCAAAGAACTTTGAAGTTATTTGTTGTCCATGACCCTAGAAACAGATTGCTTCATCCGGCCACTGATAACATTGTGGTAAGGTCAATTTGATTTACATCACAAATATAGGCACATTGATATTAGCTTATCTAGTTAAGGATAATGAAACATAATTTTAAAGGTGGCCAAGTAATAATATGAAATAATCTATTAGATCACGTTTCAATTAAGTCACCTAACCACAATGGGCAAAGTACCAACCAATGAACTTGAAACTCCCCTTTGATTGGCCTAATTAATATTGCTGATTATAAGGTAAAGAAAAAAATCTCAGCAAAAACGTACACAGTTGTCAGAATGAGGCTCTAGTCAATAAATCTAGACATAAGACGTCAAGTATGAAAACTCTAATTGATCAAGTGGTGCCGTGAGGCCTTTTATAGGAGGAATAGTATTCAATTTGATTATTGCAACCAGAAAACCAATACATTTTGAGCTTGAAATGAAGGACTAATCTAATGAAATCCTCTTGTGAAACTTGATCGTCTTTCAAAGCAGAAGGCTCAACAAATTATACATCTTCTTTGTAGGGACATGCATATGTTTGGTTCAGTGATTTTACCCTGAATAGGAACAGCTTTACCATATGAATTGCTTGAAACTCTGCAGAAGATCAAAGACAGGGGAAAAGCCCGTACATCTTTATCTCCCGTCATTGAAAAACTAGCCTCGTCTAAATAGGGAAAGTAAATTAATGATAACTGATTATCGGTTTAAAGGTTATGTAATCCCATTAAAACCTTATGAAAATACAAAAGGAAAACCAGGAACTAGTCCGTTGTAGCCTTGTATTCTATTGCGAAATCTCACATCACCAAACTACTATTGTAAGGTATGCCATATAAGTAAGGCACTCACTCAATCAAGCTTTCGACAAACAGTCAAGAATGAAAACAAAAGTAAGAATACAGATCCAGGATATTAAGCAAGCGCTATTGGCATGATGAATTATACAACAAGGAAACAAATAGGAGAACGAAACGTGTATTACTCAACTTAAAAATAAGCAAAACCAGCTAATAATTAAAATCAGATACTCCTGGAAAATACTCGAATCAGAGGCGCATAACATTTACAATAGATAGAATTACAGCCAGACAAGAACAGGAAAAAAAGAATTAAAACCACATAAAGTCAGCCTATAAAAAAAACCAACACCTCATTCAACTTCAAATTTTCAGCCTAGAAAGTCAAAAATAAAAATAAAAGGAAGTGTAGATGGTAAACGACAGAGAAGAATCTCATAGTAACGTACAATGACAGACTGATTCAGATTAAGAACCAATAAACTCATCACAACTATGCCACCCTCGCTATAAAAAACCAAAAGAAGATAAAGAAGAGAAAGGTGGAATAAAACAAAATGAAATACCTGTAGGAACATAAACATTGCGCTTCCAGTAATAGATGTAGAAGCACCAGAAGAAGCCGGAGAGGAGGTAAACGAGGACACCGCCAATGTAGTTGCGAAGCCATGTCTGGAAGAAGCGAGGGAGAGGGACCCACACGCAGTCAGGCAAGAGAGTGCCGAGCAGAAGGCGGTTGTAGAAGTCGGCGTCGTCGACAAAAAGTTGACGATAGTCGCTAGGGCCGTCCATGGGAGGCGCCATTGAGCTCAAGAGGGAGAAGTGAACAGAAACGGAAATGGAATCGGTTTAGAAAGAGAGTGAATGAAGACTGGAGGTGCAGGGAAACACAAAAAAAGAATACACGTCGCTTTTGGGACCGTACCAGGTCGTTTTTTATTTACCTACAAGAACCAAATCATTATGAAATCATGTTGCAGGATCAAGGATCAAAATTTAATTAACTTTTAGTATAAAAAGATGAAATTGCCCCTCATTATTTTTTAAATATCCTCAGTCACCAGCCCGCAGGCAAGAGCTCCAACACTAATCACTAAACCTGGGCAAGGGAGACAAATTAATTTTTTTAAGATAATCAAGGTAGGGTTTAAAACCCACATTATATTCCAACAAAAAAATAATTGGCCATTAAATTAACAAATCCTTTTAAATATATATATATATATATATATGAAAAATCTTTATATATGTATTTAATTTTGTTTCTACTTTTCATGCCAATATTTTTAAGGAGCTCAATGATTATTTATCATTTAAGAAATTGCTACTTGTTAAACTATTAATGATACTTATAAAAAATTTAATTTACACTAATTTTTATAAATGCTTACTTGTTTTTATTATTAGGAATGACAAGTCTCCATTAACAATTTAACAAGTAACCATTTGTGAGATGACAAATCTTGCTATTAGCTTTGAAAATTTATCTTGATAATTTAATAAGTAAATTTTAATAAAATAATAAGTTCATATAAGTTTTTAATATTTAATCTTTTAGTAATAAAAATAAATAAATATTTAAAAAAATTACTTCATATTAAATTTCTTTTACAAGTCCCCATTAAAAATTTAATAATTAACTATTTGTGAGATGACAAGTCCCGTTACTAGCTTTGAAAATTTTTCTTAATAATTTGATAAGTAAATTTTAATAAAATAATAAGTTTATAAAAGCTTTTGACATGCAAGCTGTTGGTAATAAAAACAAGTAAATATTTAACAAATCACTCCATATTAAAATTTTTTAATAAGTCTCCATTAAAAATTTAATAAGTAATCATTTGTGAGATGACAATTTTTCTACTAGCTTTGAAATTTTTTTTTGATAATTTGATAAGAAAATTTTAGCAAAATAACAATTTCATATAAATTTTTGACATGTAAAATTTTAGTAATAAAAAATAAACATTTATAAAAATCACTTCATATAAAATTTCTTTAATAAATTTCCATTAATAATTTAACAAGTAATTATTTATGAAATAATAAACCTCCCTATGAGCTTAAAAAATTTCTCTTGATAATTTGAAAAGAAAATTTTAACAAAATAATAAGCTTATATAAGCTTTTTATAAAGCTAATGATAAGACTTGTCATTTTACAAATAGTTATTTGTTAAATTATCAATGGAGACATGTAAAAGAAATTTAATATGGAGTAATTTTTTTTACATGTTTACTTATTTTTATTACCAATAGTTGACATATTAAAAGCTTATATGAACTTTTTATTTTATTAAAATTTACTCATCAAATTATTAAGAGAAATTTTTAAAAATAGAAACAAAACTTGTTATCTCACAAATAGTTATTTGTTAAATTGCTAATGAAAACTTGTCATTTCTGGTAATAAAAAGAAGTGCATATTAAATTTTAAAAAAATTAATCTTTTAGTCTTTTAACTTTTAACTCAATTGCAACTCAATTCCTCAATTATAACTCTTTGTAACTTAATCCCTCAACTATAACTCGCTACGATTTAATTCCTCAATTTTTGACTCACTTATAACTCGATCCTTATTTTTTATTTTTTTTAAAAGTTAGCCTTATCAAATAAAAGGGATGAAAAAATGTTCATATTTTACTCTAAAATACTCTCTTCTTGCTCTTTGATGTGGGATCTAAACCAACATGAAAAATAGAGCTAACAAAAGTTGAGGAATTGGATTAAAAGTGAGTTAAAAATTGAGGGACTGAGTTATAAGTGAGTCATAGATGAGGGATTAAGTCGTAGTAAGTCATAATTGAAAAACTGAGTTACAAGTAAGTTAAAGGTTGAAAAATTAAAAGATTAATTTTTTAAAAATTTTTTAACAAATCTTATTAGTAGTTTAATAAGTAATCATTTGTAAAATAACAAGTAATTATTTAACTCTTAGTAAATATTGATATGAAAAGTAGAAACAAAGTTAAATTCATATATAAAGAATTGCAATATATAATTGAAAGATTTGTTAGTCTAATGACTAATTGTCCTTTTAGTGGCTAAGGATGTAGGTTCAAACCTCGCCTTGGCTATCTTAAAAATAAATTAATTTATCTCCTTCACCAATTTATTAATCGATGCTGGAGCTTCAATGGCCTTTCTAGTGGGGTGGTCTGGCCACCAGCATCAAAGTTTCGGTGATTGGGGAAGTTTTTTTTTTTAAAAAAATGAAGGATAATTTTATCTTTTTACATTAAAAGTTAATTACTTTTTAATCCTTTGATCTTGTAGCATGATTTTGAAATCATTTGGTCTTTGTTGGTAACTAAAATCCTCTTAAGGCCCTTCATGTGATTTTTCCTAGATTCTTTTTTTAAAAGAAATAAAAATTCTCTTCACATAATTTTCAGCGCCAAAGTCACCGCCATCTTTGGAGCTCCAGCACCTGTGGCCCCATGATCATGGTGGGCTTTGGGCACCAAACTATGACTATTAGACCTCTAAATTCATTCAACATATGCAAAATATTTATTATTATTTTAATTGAAGAAATGCATTCATAACTCCAAAAAAAAAATTACATAAAAAAGGTAGACCTTTAATCATTCACTGCCAAGAGAAAAAAGTGGGATAATTAAAAATACAAAAATTTGAATCTAAATTCTACAACAATATGGTTAAATAAGCAACATAAATATTAGAATTTCTATTAACATGATGAATAGATAAACTCTAGTTCCTATAACACAAAACACTTCCGTCGTCAACAATATCTTAAAGGATGAGACTCATGGCATCTTTTAGTAAGCAACAAAATAGCCTCAACAAAGTCGCAATAAATCAGAACATGCTCTCGAAAAACTAGAGAAAGTGTTAGATATTACAAATATTTTTTGAGTATTTTAAAAAGAATTATTATAAATTAATAATATTAATTATTATTTAAATCTATTAATTATTTTGTAACATATAATTTAAACAATATTATTATTTAAAACCGTTTTCTTAATTGTGATAAAGATGATTTTATTATCCAACATTATGAGATTTGCCTAAAAAAAAGTAATGCTTGCCACAAGTTCTAGAAGAGGCTTGGTGTTATCTGTCTTTCTCTCCTCTTCTATCATATTGCTTTATCTATGTAGTCACCCGAGTTTATTCTTTTATGAATTTCTATTGTTCTATATTTCTATTTTTAATAGAAAGAATTTGTTTAATTTTAAAGAGTTATCGTATAATTGATCTAATATGATAATATGACTTTTAAAAATTGTATCCTTACACATGACTCAAATTATAATTTTATTCGCTGTTGCTAAAAAGCAGTAGTATAACCATGGGCAGCATCTTCATCAATGGTTTTTTTAACATCTATTCGCCCACAGATCCCAGCATATATCTAAAGAGAATGGTCCAATTCAACTTTTTAGTATACCTTCCACTCTCCACATGACTCAGATTCCATTTTGACCAATCTGCTCCCACAAGGATAGTAGATGCAAAATATGTTTATACATGTATAGAACTTAAACATGGTCCATTGCAATATTAATTGTCAATTTCCTATATTATTGTTGTCGATTTTATATACTAAAATTGTTAATGTTCTATGTCAATTGTTAATGGAAGACTAACCATTTTAGTAGAAAAAAATTAATAATTTTAATATCGGAAATTGACAACTAAACTTATAAAATTTACTAATGATTAGTTGTGAATTTTTTATATTAGAGTTATTAATCTTGATAGGACAGTTGTCAATGGAGTTATTTGGTAAAAGCGAAAATTTCCTCTTTTCCTAATAAAATTACTAGTAAATTTAATAAGATTAGTTGTAAATTTTATATACTAGAGTTATTAATTTTTTTATAATAAAATGATCGATTTTAGTAAGTCAGCAGTCAGCTATCAGGGGAAGATTACAACTTTAGTACTATAAGAAATTCACAATTATATTATCAACAAAAGAAATTCACAATCACAATTTCATTATAAATATTTAACAACTAATATTATAAAACTTCATTATATATATATATATATCTATGTATGTATGTATGTATGTGTATTAAGTATGTGTGTCTATATACGAAGAAGATTCGTTTTCACGGGGGTCACATTGTTAACAGTGAACAGTTCTATGTAATTATCACTCACATTCATAAATATTATTCAGCAATTTTTGTTGGGATTAGGTAAGCAGTCACGTGAGGGTTATAATAATTATAATATGTTTCGTACTTGTCTTCAGTATATAAGATAGTTGCACACATATACACACTGAACCTTGATCATTGGTCCCTTCCTTAAAAAAAAATATATAAAACATTGTTAATTAAATATTATTTTTTAATAAAATAGTCATTTATTTTTAAATTAATACTATTTTTTTATATTTATCCCTATTAAATACCGTATAATAAATATAAATTTATTATTAATAGAAATACTTTTAAAAAAAAGAAAATGATTACTCCTCCACAAATTAAAATTTTTTTACATTTTTAAACATCTAACTTCTCAAAAATGTCTTATATTTTTAAATGGAAGAAGTAAGAATAATAATTTTGAGTTAAAGAGAATTATAATTTTGAAGTGCATAATTAATTTTAACATATAATAAAGATGTTTAGATATATTTTTATAAAACTATAATTTTAGTTTTCAAAATTAATCACACACCACCATGTCTGAATATACTTTTGCAAAATCATGATTTTTATTTATTTTTAATTTATCTTTTCAATTATACTTAAATTATATATCACATAATGTATTTAATTATATTTAAATTTAATTATATCAATCAATTTTTTATAATTAATTTTTGCTTACGAATATCCAAAAGGACATGTAAACATGCTCTATTTGGTCTTATTATAAGACACTTTTAATAACTTCATTAAAATTAAAGAGAGGTGGTTAAATCATTAACTTTGTCAAAAAAAAATAAACTTTCAATTTTACCAATATTTAAATGAAACAAAATAAATTTACATTACATTATCTCTTATATTTAATAGATTTAAATAAGATTAATATACTAATATTGTAAAAAATATAATGTTTAGGATTTATTTTTGCCTCCAAATTATTTTTGTAGGAATACCTACTATTCTAATTTTTTTGTCATAACAAAGTCATCGTTAGAGCTGTGCAAACGAGTTGCGAGTCAGCCCGCATGAGTTAGTGTTTTGCCGAGGTAGGTTGGGCCAGCCCGTCAAGATAAACGGGTTAAAAAAACTCAACCCAACCAGCACATTAGTGGGCTAATAAGCTCGTGGGTCAACATGCAAAATATAATTTTATTTTTTAAATGATTTAAAATTTATAATTAATATATCATATGTATATATATATATATAGATAATGATTTTTCTTATATTATTTTTTAAAATAAAATTTGAATACCCATATTATTTTTTCAATGAATTTATATTTGTGATTTCAATTAATAAAGCTTATGAGATTAACAAATAACATATATTCAAAATATTTCTATAAAAAATAATAAATAATTAATTTATAAACTACAACAAAAATTTTATTTGCAAATTGTAAGAAAAATTTACATTATTTTTTAAATGTAAAGAATATATTTGGGACTCATAAATTACATATGTAAAAATATTATTATTATTATAAATTTATAAGAAGATATATTGTGATTGAAAAAATAAATTATTGTTTTTTTAGAAAAGTAGGCTCGCTCACGAGCCAATCCATTTAGTCAGCAGGTTAACTTGTTTTAACTTGTCATTTTTACGGGTTGAAAAAATTGACTCATTTTTTCAACCTAACCTAATAAATTTAACAGATTAAACAGGTTAACCTATAAACTCAACTCATTTTTGCAATTCTAGTCACCTTTAAAGTAATTAAATTGTAGTAATGTTGTCGTTGACTTTAAATGAACAAGCATTGATTGCTAACTTTACTTACTCACAAATAAAATTGAGTTAAATTGTAATAATATTACTTTTAAAGTAATTAAATTGTTGAAATGTCACATCTAATGTCAAGTGTGAGTTGTTCATCTAATGTTAAGAGCAATATTGCTCAATTTAATTGCTTCAAAGGTGATATTGCTACAAAAGAATTTAGAATCTTGAATACTTTTATAAAAATAATTCAAAAATAAAAATAAAACTTAACTAAAATGTCATTAATATTCTAAAGTGTTGATATCAAGTATCATCAATACTTTTAGAAGGCACTAGCTTGTAATAAAGAGGGTAGTTCATAATTCTACGGTTTTCATCATAGAAAATTTTCTCCTTTTTTTTGAAGGAAAAAAGGTAAACCTTAACACGACAGAGTTTCAAAGACTTGCCTTTTTGTTTTATTTGGAGCAATTACGTCTAAGTTTCATATAAAAAATTAATTATCAAAAAATTTCCATAAAATTTATAAAAATATTTTTAAATTTTAAATCCTGTATATTTGTAATTTGGCAAATACAATTGGATAACAAAAATTTATAACTTATTGTTATAAATTATTTTTTTAATGCTCATTATCCGATTATAATAATCTTTTGTCAACTTATCATTTTCCCTTAGTAAGTGTCCATTGCTCAGATATAAATGTCATTTGCTTAATTATAAATGCGTCAGATTTAAAATTTAAAAATATTTTGTAAATTTTATGAAATTTTTGAAAAATAAATTCTATTTATAGGATCTCGATGTAATTCCTCTTTTTCTTTCCCTTATTGTCCCCTTTGTTCTGCCGATACTTGCTGATATGAGCCCGCCATGACTTTTCTGACCCGGGGGGAGGGACGGTGAAGAAACCTGACGATGGAAAAGGAAGAAGAGGACCGAAGAAGAGAAGCAGCAATCGCATCGACACCATGTCTACAGCCCAATTTCATATCCAGAGGACTCACTTCTGAACAGCTTTCTAAGTTCCAAGTACTCTTTTTTTCTTTCTCATGATTCAATTTGTAATAAATAATAATGCTCTCATCTATAAATGTTTTGTGATCTGGATAGTTTAATTGAGTATGTCTGCCTTTAAAACTTTCCATCATTTGAAAAATTCTGAAAGATTTTAAACCTTTCGTTGCCGTGGGAACTCCATAGAGAAACAAAGCAAGTGAAGAATGTTTTTTCTTTTAATATTTGCAGAAAAAATATTATCATCTAATATTTATACTGAAATTGAGTGTGGCGTATTTCATTGCAATGATCTCGTAGAGGCGTTACTAGTTTTCTGCTTCTAATATTTTGATGGAACCTCCTAGGGGGCTTTTGTTGTGAGCTCAAAGCATAGTGCAATGTACCCTGAATTTGCTGCAATAGACATATTTATTACTCCTTGAATGAAGGATACAAAGTTTTGGTGGGATAAAATTATCCTCCACAATAACAGGGAATGCAAGGGGAAAAAAGAAAGGAAAAGCTTAGGCTGGTCAATCTCTTTGCATGTGAACAGAAGAGATTTTCCCTAAAACAGCCATGCGCAGGGTGTGAAACAGTAAAAGTTAGGCCATAATAACCATCATATCCCGCGTATGTAAGGGTGATAGGTGTTCTTAGGGATTTGAAGCAGCTTTTTGCCAGCCAAATACACCAAAAAATCACAGATGCTACACATGGCCTTGAAAATTTGTTCTTTTCTTGCCAAAACATTAGAATTATATGAGGAGAAAATGCTCCCTTGTGTTGCAGCAAACTCAGTGCTGCCCATCCTGTAAGTCTTAACATTTTGTTCCCCTTAATAATTCTCTCTTCCTTTATGATTCTCATGAACAAAAGCAACTTGATTTACTGGGTGACTTGGAGGCTGAAAATATCTGTTCCTTGCTTACATTCCCATAAGTTGTTGCTACTGTTATATAGCTAGTTTCCTTTTATTGACTGTAAAATATAATGTTGAATATCTGAGTGCGATCGTGCAAATTTTGAGAACATTACTTAGGATTAGGAATCTAGGTATTTACAGCTGGAGAAATTTAATTGATACTTGTGCATTGTTTTCTTGTAATTTTTGGAGGTTGATGTTAATTAATTCTATCCATATAGTTATGTATATTTACTTATATGTTTGTTACTCGTCCTCACTGTTAGTGTCTGAAAATTTAAATGTGACAGGAACTGCACAAGAGGCGCTTACAAATAAAGTCAAAGTCGAAGATTCAAACAAAAGGCAAAGGTTTGTTCTAGTTGTTTTACATTGGTTGCCGGTATTAATTATGCTTTAAATATTATTCAACTTTCAATAAGAGAATTTCAGTGTCCAACTTTCCATTTGAAATTTTGAGTCTTGCAGATGGTACCAAAACATCCAAAGGCAATAGCTTCAGCATCCAACACTTTGAAGTTTCAAATGTTGATAGCAAAGAACCAAGTCTTTTGAATTATGAAGGCTTTGATAGCAAAAAGAAATCCTCCTTAGAGCAGGATAATGTATCTATGGATTGCTTATCAAAGAAGCGACAGAAATTGCATTGGGGGTAGGTATTACTTGAACTTGGTTGATTAGAATTAAATATGCTTGCTCTAGTATTCATGTTCATGATGCACCTAAATGCAAGTGTAAGGTACCTATTAATTTTCCAAAGAAAAGCTTATGGTAATGGTTATGGGCAATCCCCTCTGGAAGGAAACCTCTGGTGAATAAGAGTCTGAAATACTTGAAATGCTGTGTCTGGCAATGTTACATTGATTCATTGACATGCTATGCACATATGATAACCTTCATATGTTCTCTCGAAGTCTTGGACATGTTTTCTTGTATGGTCTGGAGTTTGCTCTACTGCGCCCATGCAGCAGCAGTTTTAGGGCTTTTTTTTATTATTTAGGAATAAAATATTCAGTAAACATGAAATTTGTAAGGACAAAAATTGTACCTTTGAGAAAATTATATCTCACAAATTTTAACTAGATTGTATAGTTAAAATTTTTAAGGTGTATATTGTTCTCCCTTACAGTATTTATCTACCGTGCTGAATTTCTTAGTCACTTAAAAAGGCTTCCAAAACTGTTATTGCATAGGATCTCTTACTGCGGGGGATCAAAGCCTCCAAAGCCAGTCTGGCTAGAGTAGATTGTCAATATATATACATATATATATATATATGGGTCATGAAAAGTATAGCTCATTTCTCAGGCTCCATGTAACACACGGGACCCTTGCTAATTACTCATAATTCAGTAGTTGGGTTTGTGTGGGGTTTCAAGCGAGCAGTCACGATAATCATTGTTGTTGCATTTGCAGGCTTGACACCAAGGAGAGGTGGGAAAGGAAATCCAACATGTAGATATATCACCACCTGAACTGGACTGAGAAATCCATGAACCGTCATCAATTTGTTCTGAATATGGCTGTTGGAGTTTTGATGGAAGACAGAGAGCTTCTAAAAGTGATGTTGTTGCATATGCAATGCATATAGGGGAAACGCCAACAGCTGTCCATGTTCTTCGACTTAATTTGTACTATCGTACTTGTGACCTGTGACTTGTGAGTAGCTATTTTTGGCTTTTTTGGTAATTATAATGTGTACAAGGTGGAAGATTTTGAGTTAGACAGGTAAGAAATGATTGATATTATCATGGAAAGAAAGCTAGATGTCATACGACATTCAGGAAGTTTCTGTTTTCCTCCATTTTTTCTAAATTCATTAATTTAGATGGCCTAAGTAATTAAAAAGACATCGAGACCACGGGAAAGTGAATTTCATTGATTGAAGCTCACTTTACAAGGGGATTACATATGCAAAGGTCAAGAGGTAAAAAAGGAATGACTAAACCCAGCAAGCCTCCCTATAATAAAGGAATTTTCTTTTATAATAAATGCTAAATCTGATCGGCCAGATTCAAAATCTGATTTTGTAAACCTAAAGAACCGTGAAAAGGTACTTTTGTCTATTACTTGCAGAAAGCCACAATAATGAAGTGTTTGGATAATCAATGAGAGTAAGAAGTTTTAGAAATGGTTAAAGGCTATAATGATAACGAGTCCTGTTTTACAAACTGGTTATATAAATTATATGGTGTTATTAGTCTCTATCAATGCACATGGTTAGCAAAGGTGAAAATTAACTTGCCGTATGCGAAAGCTTTTCTTTACTTTATGTTGGCGTTATTATATGAGCCTTTTAAGTGTGAATTAAGAATGAATGGGAATCTAGGTAGGTAGATTTAAGATCGAAAGAAAGATAAATAAATCTTTTAAAATATGCTTGTGCATAAGGTGAGAGGGAAAAGAGGAAAAAATATTTAAATCAAAAGAAAGACTTGCATTTGTACTTCACTACATCATTGTTTAATTGTTTTCCTCCCTAACAAAACTTATCCAATACGAGAGTTGATTTTTGGCCCCAAAGAAAAATGCCAAGTGGATTTGTGAGGAAAAATGATCACTCTCTCTTTTTAGGAGAAAACAAAGATTATATTTATAATATAAAGTTTAAAGTTGCATATCACTTCTTGTGTAATCAAGAAAGAAACAAGCAATTCTTTTTTGGAATTCCATGTCAACTGCGATTTTAGACGCCACTCAAAATGATGATGACTGAAATTAGAATCTTTTGAAACAAGTAGTGTCTACTGTCTAGTGATATGATTATTAGTTTTGTGGTTAAAGGAAAGTAGACTTTTTATCATCATATTTGTATAGTATAGTTACATTTTGATGGTGGACTCTGTTACTTAAATGATATATTTAATTTTAATGTAATTGTACAAATGTAAATTCTAAATTTTCAAGTTAATTTTTTTAAGTGCTTTATTTTGATTGTAGTTTAAAATTTTTATATTATTATATATTTAATAATTTAAGAAATAAAATTTAAAATTAAATATAATAATTTTTTTTCCTGGGATAAAATAATTTGCAATTATATTTTTATTGAATCAGTAATATATAATAGAAATTATATAAATAATATATTAAAATATTAAGTTTTATCGTATATAAATATTTTTTATAAATATTAAGATTATTATTATTCATAAAAAATTAATAATTTTTTTTATCTTTCTTGGTCGGCTGGGTATGAGAAAAGAAAATCACATTCCTCCAATTTTTTCTTTTCCATGTTTTCTCTCTCTTTATTTTCTTTTCTTTATATTTTCTCTCCTTATCCAAATAAAACATAAGGTTTTTCAATTATCCACTTTATTCTTAAATTTTAATTCAAAATAATTTTGTAATTATGATTTCTTGACTTGAAATTGTCAAATTATTGTTATTTTATTTGTATCGGTATAATTTAGTCTTATGATTTCTTAACGATAAAGAGTGAATCGCATGGAATTAAAGTTTAAATGCTAAATCATAATTGGAAAATGAAAAAAAGAAGAAGTAAGAATTAAAAGTTATATTATCTAAAAGTAATTAGAGAAGTAAGTGGGAAGTTCATAGCACTTCCGAATTCCGATTTTGCGATAGCAGATTTTTTTTCCTGTGCTTCTGATTTATGAACTTCCTCTGACGCCGGAGTCCCAATTTCTCAGACTTGCTTATCGTTCTACGAAAGAGTCCAGGAACGCTAAGGAAGCTTCAGAAGCTACAAATCTTGCATTTTCCTTACCAGGTCAGCATCTTTCTTTTCTTTTTCGCTTCAGTCTTCGCATTTCATGCTTAACATGCAGCACCCATAGGCGCTGCTGATATTAATTTGCGGGGAATTTGAGAATTGAAAACTAAATTTCTTCCTGCTGCATAGCGGGTTACTATTAAATCACGCTTGCGTCTACCGGTTATGTCTTTAAATCTCTCAACTCTTCTGTCGTTGAGGCTTTCTGTTTCTTGCAAACCTGCTCGTAGTGAAAGTTCCCCTGTTTTTTTTTTCCTTTTTCCTTTTCTTTTCGTGGTCTTGAACTGGAGATTTTGTATCAGATATCTGAGCAAAAGCATATTGGAAGCTCTACAGGATAAGAAAATCCGTAGAGAATTTGCAGGAAGCTGTGAAGCATAGAGACTTGAAACAAATAAACAAATTAAAACAAGAAACGAGCCGCTAATGTGTTTAATACGTGTCAGACATTTCAAATTTTGGTTGTGTTGCTGTGTTAGTTATAATTTAATGGACAACACGATTGCATATGATCATTTTAAGTTTGTGTGTGTGCGCTAGCGTCTTGTCCTGAGCGTTTCAGGGTCCATGATTCCTGGAAAGTTCTTGACTTTCTACTAGCCCTAGCCTCAACTTTCTTCATTTACAGTCTTCCCTTTTTAAGTTTGTGTTCATGTAGTTCTTTGTATATCAAAAAATAATACACCAAAAGAAAGAAAAAAAAACAGAGGGTAAAAAGAATAAAACACCAAAAGAAAGGAAAAAATGATAATAAAATTTTGTCATTTTTTATTTCAGCCTTTGCAAAACCGTTTGGAATTGAAGTATAATGGTGTATTATTGAAACATTACAAACCACAGAAAAATGGTAGCCTTTGGAGAATGCATGGTTTGCTGGTAATCTTTTTTAGAGGTATATCCTGAAAATTGAAGTGTGATTTAGGTTTGGGGTCCCTACTACTTGCCCTGTTTTATTCTGGTCAATGATGATTTAAGTCAGAAAGCTGGGAATTTAGATATTCATGTAAATGAAAAGAGAATCTTTTAGTTTCACAGGGGTGAGAAAGTTATACAATTGAACCAATGTGTTTTGTGATAAATCTATGAGAGATAAAAATCAATTATGAGGAAACTAAGCTGAGGGCAAGGGAAACTTTGAAATTAAGAACGATAGTCATGTTGGCAATCTTGAAGTTAACTTAGGAAGTGCCGTTTCTGGAGTTGTATGAAATTGAAAACAGTGCACCTTGGTCATACTTGTTGATTTGCTACAGAGAATCTGGATAATCAAATTCTGTTAATGTTCATGACAGAGCCAGGGTTCGGGACAAAATTGCATGTTTGTTAAGAAAAGGGGACTTGATTAAAAGAAATAAAGCTTTGGGATGAAATTAGTATACTTTTTGCCCAAAATAAATCTTAGCTGTTGAAGTTGCCAATAGGTTGGGGATTTAAAGAGTGTGCAGTACTCGGAGATTTCTGTCCTATATGCTTCCACAAACCCTATTTTCTCTTCTGTATTACTCAATTTCCTCAGTTTTGAATGTCTCTTTGGTGTAATTCAGTGGGATCTAAACTATTTCATCAAATGTTTGTTGATCGTTCGTTGCACTTTTCATTTTATGATAGGTCAATGTTGTATGCAGCATCTGCCCCAAGCTCTTGTGTAACCTATCCTGGCAAACTGCATTATCCTCGCTACATAAGAAAACATTCAGTTGCAACAAGGTGTTCAGTTCCTTCCTCATTGCTGGAAAATAACAATGGAGCTAAAGTGGAATATACTCCTTGGCTCATTGTTGGCTTGGGTAACCCTGGAAATAAATACCATGGCACAAGGCACAATGTAAATATTAAACAATATGAGACGCTGCTTGCTTCATTACATCTTGTATGCGTTGGGTCTTATGGTTTCTTTCCATTAGGTTGGATTTGAAATGATTGACAGAATTTCTCAGGCAGAAGGGGTTTTGATGAACACAATTCAATCAAAAGCCTTGATTGGAATAGGTGCATTACTTGCTGCCATTTTGTGTATGTATGTATAGTTTCTTTCCTCTTTTTACTTCCCTATTTACTGATTCTGATTTCTTCTTGTGATCAGTACAGGTTCAATTGGAGAAGTACCAATTTTGTTGGCAAAGCCTCAAGCATACATGAATTTTAGTGGGGAATCGGTTTGTTTTCCATCATATTATGTGTCGTATTTCCTATCATATGAAAAATATTTCACCTTTCGCTTTCTAGGTTAATTTGTTTTGTTCCCCTGACGTAATCTTCATTGTCCTGTACTTAAAGGTCGGACCACTTGCTGCATATTATAAAGTACCCTTGCGCCATATTTTACTAGTATGTTTTTCTATGCCTTACTACAATCAAACTTGTGTTTAGTAAAATAGTGACAGTCCACAAATTTGTGGGATTTTCAATGTAGGTTTATGACGAGATGAGCCTTCCAAATGGTATTTTAAGGCTTCAACCTAAAGCAGGACATGGCCATCACAATGGGTAATATCAGATTGCCTAGAACGTGTTTTATTACAAATTCTCATCTCTAATTTGTCAAAAGTAAATATGACAAATCCTCACTTACCCATTGAAATGACTTTCTAAATTTATTGACCTGCGGAACAGGTGGTATGCTAGCTAGAGCTTAATCCTTAGCATCTTCAAACAAACTACACCAATTAGGGTTCTCATAGTTAATTGAATACTTGAATATTAAATCGATTGACATTCATTCAGTGCTGATATAAATTCGACTGCTACCTTACACTGGTATGCTGATGCCAATCTTTTCATGATAACATTAAATGCAGTTGTAATCCTTTTAAATAATTACTTGAAGACATTTTGGTGGTGAAGATTTGGTATGTAGTAATTGTAGAAAAATTCTGACAACAAACCTTATCCCATTAAGTAAAGTTGGCTACATGAATTGCATGATATCATTGTACTTTATCAATATCCAAATCTTGGATATATTGTTAACCAAAAAATCTCATTCAGTAACTTCATAGAGTGTTTTTTTTGGTCTTTCTCTATTCCTATTCACAAGACTTGAGACTATTTGCTTCGCTCTCCTCACCAACACTTACAATGGTCTTCTTTATGCATGTCCATTGTCCAAACTATCTTAAACGGTTTTTTACCATTTTTTCCTTGACAAATGCCATGCCAGCTCCTTCTTGTCCATGATCATTATGAATCCTTTCTTTTATACCTATGCATCCATCACTACGTCCTCATCTCTATTATCCTAACTTTATGTTTTTGTTATTCCTTTAAAGTTTAACATTCACTATCATATGACATAGTTAATCTTATAGCAATCGGATAAAATTTTCCTTTAAGTTTATTAGGTACTATCTAATTTAAAAAAATTACTGTAGTATTTTTTTTTATTTGAACCACCCAGCTTATATTTTATGTGCAATACTCCCATTAATTTCAAAATAATTTTGTATAATTGCTCCAAAATATATAAACTTTGTCAGTTATGGAATGATCTAATATTCTATTTTAACCTCCAAGTCATTACTAGCTAGCTTCTTATTAAATTTGCATGGCATATATTCTGTCTGTTGATAAATACAGAAGATACTAAAAGGGGGTTTTGTTGCTTTGTTTACTTCATGAAGTTCCTAGGTCTTTATTTAATCAACACGCTTAATTTACCCAAATCATCGCACTCAAACTATTCTATCAGTAAGTTATTTTAGAAATCAGTAGTAATATATTTCTATACTTGCCTTAAACTACCAGAAAATCATACTAGAGAGTAATGTAACTTGAGTTAGATTGCTACAGAGTTAAGAATGTAATGGACCATTTGGAGGGCTCTCGTGCATTCCCTCGTCTTTGCATCGGTAAGTTCCTTATGTTCTATTACTGAAAAAATGTTGTCTTTATAACAGTTTCAGCTGTATTGGATTTATCCGGTTATGCATTTGTAGGAATTGGAAATCCCCCTGGGACTATGGATATGAAAGCTTATCTTCTACAGAAGTTTAGTTCAGTTGAGCGTAAACAGGTGATACCTTCTACTTCTAGCAAGAAAAATTATACTTCATGAAATGACTTGATTAATTTCTATTTTGCATTGTGTACCATATTTATAAAAGTTGAATTCTCTCATGCTTTACGAATAATCCATGGTAGCTGTTAAATTGATTCCTGAGCAATTTCAAATATTATATCAAATGGGAAACGTTAACCAAGAGATTGGATTTAGAATGCCATTTGTCTTTGTTAGGGGATTTTGCGGCTGTTTTAAAAGCTATTCTGATGCAGGTGCTGTGTAATAAAACTGATGTGGAAGAAAATTCAAAAAATTGAATTTAATGCATCAACATTTAATAATGTTTTATCAATATTTAAGAATTTAATATTGGTATTTTTTTTGTTAATGAAATTAACAATGCTAAAATTATATGACTGAAAAAGCACTATGAAATTAAGGCACCAAAAAAAAAAAAACATGGTGTGAAGTTAAATAATGAAAGGTGCACTTTTGCCTATTTTATGAATATCATGGATTCCTATAGTCTATCTATGTATTGATATTGTACTATGGATTTCTGTTTGTCACTTGTGTATCTTATTTTGGTTTCGCTGCCTTAACAGATTGATGATGCATTGGACCAAGGAGTTGAAGCCGTAAGAACCTTAGTTTTCAACGGCTTTAATCAGCATGTCAATAGATTCAATCTGAGGCAGAAGTATAAGTACCATAAAGTCTAAATTTTTCTCAAATATTTAGTTGAAATCACTTATCAAATGCATAATCCATCATTTTCGTTGCATCCTTCTTGTATAACCTGATAGTTTTATCATTCAGAATCAATGTTCTGGCAGCATCCTCCATCCTCTCAATATTTTCAGAAAAAAATACATTTTTTGCCACCAGGGAAAATTACATTATTAACTTTATGAAGAAATAGACTTATTGTGTTTTGGTCGCTTGAATGATGGATCGCTGGTGAGTGTTGAACTCAGAACACTATTTTCTTGAAATATTGAGAAAGTCCAAATTCTTTTACATGGAAAAGATCATCTAATGTCAAACGGGTTGGAAAACTTTGCATGTATTCATGGACCTTAGTACAATAGTCTAATCTTTAATTTTAAGTTTAAATTGTAATTAACTTTTATATTTTTTTACCTTTAAACTTTTATGGTGAACCCTCTTAAACTTCTATAGTTACGTTAATTACTTTCATCATGTTAATTTATCCAATATTTCACTAACATTACTATCTCCGTTACATTTTATAAAATGTTTTGCCAAAAAAGTAATAATACGTTAACTAACCTTATCCCAAAACACCCCTCTTTAATTGGAGGGAAAGAGAGTGAGTTTCGGGTTTGTAGTAAATGATAGCGGTTTTTTATTTTTTAGTGTGAAATAAAGTGCTTTTACAAGTTTGTGCATTTTTTTGTTTCATGTACTGTGTTCCATGGCCCAATTAATTCTAGACAGTACAATGGGGCTTGTGATGTAATCGTTCTATTTTTTTTTAATAAATTGATTTTTACCTTAAAAAGTTATGCATAAAAAATTGTGAATAGTAATTATGAATAATGAAGAAATACTTAGATAAATGTAATGTTTCACATCATTTATGATTTATTCAATTAAAATATTTTAAGTAATCTAAGTAAAATATTTTGTGATATTTTTTTAATAGATCTTATTTTTATAATAAAATGTACATTTAATTTCTTACATTTTCTCTCTTTATTATTATTAATATCATAATTAATTTATATTTAATATCATTTAAGTGTTATGTTTTAGTTGGATAGATCACAAATAATATAGTGCATCCAATCTATTTAAGTATTTTTTATGAATAATGATAGAACTGAAAAAAATAAATATTTTCTTTTCAGACTTGAGGAATTATATTAATTGAAAATGATACTAGAAAACTCAATAAAGTAAGTGAACAGTTAATAAAGAATTCAATATTCACTAGAAACTAATATTTTAAATAATTAAAGTTAGACCTAGTTGTTAAGAACTATATTTTAACCAAATCTAAATTGTAAGTATTGAATTATATCAAATTATAATTTAAGAATTAAATTACAATCAAATTAAAATTATATGAATAAATGATTAATTTTTTCTATGGACAATGACAAAACTGAAAAAAAAAAATTAATTTTATGTGAGATTTGGAGGAAGTATATTAATTGAGATTGACATTAGGAAACCCAAGTAGAATAAAATAATTGAAGATTTAATAAAGAATCCGACGTCCACTAAAGACTTCTTAGATTCTTAGTGTGGGACCCACTTCCAATTAGAACGTTGCAACGTGAACCTTAGAAAAAGACTCTTTCGCTCCTTTCTCCCTCCCCCCTTGATATGATGATTCATTAGACCGTTGCAAAATCATAATATCTTCTTAGTTCTTCTGACCATCTCGCAGAAACAACCAAACCTGAAAAAGCTGCAATGGCAGAGATCAACGTCTCTCTGCAACAACATCGACAGCATTCCCACGAATCAAACCCCTCTCTTCGAGCTCTCTTCCACGCCCTCGACCCCATTTCTCTTATCCTCAATCAGAATTCAACCTCAGATCACCCTGTTCCTCTCAAACTTACCACCACTGATAGCTTCATCATGGAGCGAGGTCCCAGATACGAAGCCTACGCCGAACTGAGAGAAGCTAAACTGCGAAGGAAACACGCAAGAGACTTCCAAGAAGATGAAGAACCGAAACGAGCAACCCCACCGAGAAAACAGGTCAAATTTCAGACTAACTTGACCTCCGCACGAAAAGGACCCTCTGTTCTTGCTCAATCGGTGCCGGATTTCTCTGCGGCGTTGCGGAAAGAGAACCGGAAGCCGACGAACACGCTGCCATCGTTGCCGGAGATGACGCCACCGGCAAAGAGCTTCTCGAAGGCGAATTATGGGGTTTTGTCAAATTCCAGGGGGAGCAAGTCGGCGAGCGCGGGGGAGAAAAAGGGTGGTAATGGTGGGATTCTGATGGCGAGAAAGAGCTATGCGAACATCGATGAACTGAAGAGTCTGTCTTCATACGCTGCGAGCGCCATTAACGGCGAAGCTAGAGGAGGAAGAAGCAATGGTTGTGGTGGTGGCAGAGTGATCGGAAACGGAAAGACTGTCTTGGGGTACAGACAGTATTGATTATTATGGTTTTCTTCAATTTGGATTTGGTCATTGTTTGGATGATGGTGTTACTGAAGAATGGTGATAGTTATTTGGTCTGCTTTTATTGTGTTTTTTTATTCTTTCAATCTGCAAATTTTTGTTTGGGGAATTTACAGTTACAGTAGCCTGTATCTGTGTACAGCTATAATTTGTAAACCTATGGATTGAGCATTTGTATTCATGACACTATCATTATATATGAGATATTCTGTTTTGAACGCGCCAATGCACCAGATATTCCAGCAATCCAAGTTGAGGATGAAGAGATGTGTGTATGTGTTTTTCCTTTTTTTTAGAATCTTTTAATATCAGATTGTCTTTGTCATGTTATCCATTCAGATGAGATAAATTAATATTTCTACAAAACTGAGCAAAGAAAAGGCGCAATTACATCAGCATCACTGTGTCATAAAAAAGTAAACTTGTGACAGCATTAGCATCGGAATTATTTTTTAATAAAAAAACATTTTTAGCATCCAGTTGGTCTTAAACATGGCTGAATCTTACTGTTAGGTCAGGATTTCAATTGGAAGTTACATTACAATTAGAATTATCTCAAGGTGATAATTCCTCAGCTTTATAATTACAACAAATAGGAAGAGGAAGACAAGTAAAAAAGGCTTCGTTGCTGTGAAAGTGGATCTAAAAAAAGCCTATGATCAGCTTGAATGGTCATTTATTCGGAGGCATATTGAAGAAGTGGGTTTTGGAGATCAGTTGTGTGAGATCATTGTGACTTGTGTTAGTACTCCTATCACCAAACTTTTCTAGAATAGAGAACCTATTTTAGAGTTTGTCCTTGCTAGAGACTTGAGATAAGGGAATCTATTATCACCATACATTTTTACTCTGTGTATGGAAAAGTTGATCCACATTATTGATGATGCAATATTTAGAGGAGAATGGAAACTGATACATCTTGTGAAAAATGGCCCTCTACTCTTGCACTTGTTCTTTGCTAATGATCTTTTGCTCTTTAGGGAGTATCTTGGAGACAAATAGATATCATAGATAGATGTATGTCTCATTTTTGTGCTAGCTTTGGGGAGAAAATGAACAAGGAAAAAACAAAGCTTCGTGTCTCTAACAATATAAACTCACAGAGGAAACGAGCACTTAGTCAGAGGTTAGGAGTAGGGTTAACTAATGACCTAGGAAAGTATCTAGACGTTCCCTTAATTCACAAGAGGGTTACTAATAAACTCTTTATTCCTATCCTAGATAAAGCAAGTTAAAGTATGCCAAGTTTGAAGAGTAATTACCTTATTATGGTAGGGAGATCTATTCTTATAAAGTTGGTTATCTCGGCTTTACCAGCTTACTTTATGTAGACTATTCTTTTACCCACCGAAATACCGAATGAACTTGAGAAGATCAGTTAAGGCTTTATTTGGGGAGATAGTGCTGAGGATCGAAAGTTACACCTAATCTCTTGGGATGTTCTACAGAAACATATGGATCTAGGTAGCTTGGGCATTAGAAATCTAAAGTTTCAAAATAAAGCATTCATTTAGATGTTGCACTAGGGGTCTTTTAACAAATGACAAAACCCTTTGAGTACAAGTCTTGAAGTCTAAGTATAGGTATGGTGATGGGGATTTTCTAAAAGTTAAGAAAAAAAACAGGGGCCTCAGTTATATGGAGAAGTATTATGAAAGTGTGGTTAGTCTTTTCAAGATGGGTTGGAAAAACTATAGGGTCAGGTTGTAATACTTCTTTCTAGTTTGAAAGGTTGATCCTTAATAAAAAGCTACTGATTGATTATGTTTAATAGGGTAGAGAATTCATAAATATAAATGAATGTGTATGGGACTAAGTTCTTTTTTTGAATGAATGGGACATTGTAGCCTTGACTCTTGGACCACATTGTGAGCATCATTACCAACTTAAGAGCCCAATGTGAAAAGAGAGAGGAGAGGACAAACACTTATGGATTTTTCCCTTTTAATGGTAACTATTCTGTCAATTCTGGTTATTTTGTTCTTTCTACAAGTATAGAGGAGCATAGAGATCCCATTTGGCATAACATCTAGAGATGGAGAATTCCAGAGAAGATCAAAACCATCTTTTGGTTGATGGCGCATGACAGAATACATACAATGAAGTTACAGCAGCAGTAAGGGCTAGCAGTGGTTAGACCTTACCCTTTGAGGTGTTCCGACAATGAAGACACCATACACCTCTTCCATGACTGTCCACATGCCAAGAAATGGTGGACTGAGTATGTATGGCTAGATGTTATGGATAAATTCTTTGGCTTAGAAAGACAAGAATAGATATCATGGAATTTGAAACATCCTGTTGGAAATCACTTTATTGGTATTGTTCCATGGAATGTCCTCTTTGCTTATACTTGTTAAAACATTTAGAAAGATGGGTACGAGGCTCTTTTCTAAGTAGAGGAGGAAAATCCTCATTCCTTTCTCTTCAAAGTGGCACCAGATGTTAAGATTCTTTCTCACATCGAGAATCATCAGGGTCTAAGACATGTAGATCATCCCTCTCTTTAAAGAGTTGATAGCATGAGATTAGAGATGGATAGATCCGTTCTTGTCGATGCCTGTAGTGCATGCGGTGGATTCTTGAGAGATACCATTGGCAATTGGGTTTTAGGCTTTAGTCCAAAATTAGATCATGTTCCGATAGGCATTGCTAAAGTTTATGGCATTTTTTATTATTTGGAATTATGTTGGAATAGATTTAGAGCTATGGAGGTCTTTTGTGATAGTGTGTATACCATTTCGACTATCATATGGGACAACCATAATTATCATCCTTTCTGTGATATTGTTCAAGCTATACGGAGACTAATACATAGAAATTGGACTGTTAGTTTTCATTTTTTGTATACAAATGAGAACAAGGTCACCAACTATCTAGATAAGTTAACTCATAATATCCTTTGTGATTCCAAGTTGTATCAGGAACTTCCTCTTTAGATTGAGTTTTTGCTTCCTTGAGGAGTTTCTTGTGTTTTCCTTCTTGTCGACTGTTCTTAGTTTGTACCTGTTTACATTCTTATAAATGAAGTTTTCTAGTATTATTAAAAAAAAAAAAACATTGAAGCAAAAGAATTGATATTTGAAAATATAATGCTGATATGAATTAAAATATGGTTAAGACAACAATTTCAGATGACTTATTTTATATATATATATATATATGGTTATTTTGGGCAAGATCAGATCCAAGAATGCATCCTTGTTCGACATGGGCCCTGTTACAAACACCATTTTTCCATTTATACAAAGACAAAAAAACATGGATAATTCTAGTAGCAACATCTAGGTATACATTCAAATGACTGCCCTCCAAAATCTACAAGGTCTTCAACAATTTCATCAACTAAATTTTGAAGTATCTCCCCGTCAATTTCGACACCAGCCTCGAATGCTTCAACATCAAAATCAGTCCATTTCCCTCTGGAGTGGCTCATCTCCCATTCTATTATTTCATCTGGTATCATCACAACCATGCAGCCCCACTTCTTAATTGACCTCTTAACCTCTTGAACCAACATCCCAGCATTAATGGATAAAGGCAGTTTGGTCCATGTCCTGAAGCCACATTTACAATATGTGCAACAAATTGATTCAAGATATTCTATAACACTGTCAAAGAGAAATTCCTTGAATCGGCTTCTCTCTTTAGAATCCCCGTGGCCTGCAGAGCCGTTAAAATCAATCCACAGAGCATCATCGTCAGACATGGTATCCAGTTTATCAAGGAGAAAGCGAGGAACAAAAAGATGCGGCACACCATCTCCGCTGTGTATGGTAATGGTACTTCCAAGCAACAACTCAGCATCCATGATAACATCTTTCACATGTTCAAGCTTACTTCTTGTCAGTGTTGTCCCCAATGAGCTTAGACTTCGAAATATCATAGAAATGTGATTAACAATCACAGACAGTTGCTCACTACCTATCTTCCCTTTGTTCAATAATGTTACAGAATCTAAAAGCTGAGAATCATATTCCAACTGATCATATGAGTAGTTCATAGACTCTGTGTGAAGATCATGCCCTGGAATAAGATCAAGATCCATCAACAATGGACTTACACTGATGACCAAAAAATTGGAGAGGTAAAATAGATGAAAATTAGAAACACAAATTTTTTAAAGAATAAAAATGAAAATATATTCACTACCTGAGCTTTCATCCAGACTACTGGAAGAAAAAGAAGCTTCCAAAACAGATCCAGGACTAAGATGATTAACATTGCAAGAGGCTCCCACTAAACTTTTCTTTTCTGCCCCATCCTGATCAGAGTGGAAATAGAAGATAATGTCAACTGTCGAATATAGTTGTCAGCTAATGCAGCTAAAATTTTTTAGGATGGAGAAGAAAACAATGAAAACGGAAAACAGTTCTCAAAATTCAAGCCAATTCAGTCCTAATCAGGGATAACAATGCCAGGCTCATCCAAATAACTTGACAAGTAAACTACTCCAATCACCAACTTCACTATTAAGATCTAACTCATCAAGAATATGGCCTCATCATACGTAAAAAAGTGAGAAGTGTCAATCAATTTAGTGATGCAATCCAATGAAAAGACCCTATTGCAAAGACTGGAGGTGATGGCATTATGCATACAAGAGATTCATTTAAAATGAGTGATTTGGAAACAAAACAAGAAAGTGAACACAAGGGCATGTGAAACTGGTACTACAAAAAAAAAAAAAATTCCTTTGATATTTAAAAGCTCTTCAATTCTTCTTCGGCTATACATTCCACATCAAATAATCAATAAGCACAGGTGATGTTACCGGGAACATTATTTAGAAAGCTACATGTTAAATTCTGCCATTAAGTTAATGACTGGTAAGAGACTACATCAAACAAGACAAAAATAACTCTATATAGTCAGCCCAGCATATGCATGAAGAGATGGATGTTTGATTTTCTAACCTCAAAAGCATGCTGTCAAATCAATAGAATATGGTTATACATCGTTACTGCAGTCTTCAATGGCAAGGTATCGAAGATATGTATGCATTATTTCATGGATCGAAATATGCCTAACATCCTTGCAATCACCAACTGAAGACAGTATCAGAAATATCTTTCAATTGATAAAGCTGATAGAATCCGTTGGCACTGGATTTATAGCCTCACTTTTTAGGCTAGGTTCTTATATGATTCAGTTATGTTAAGAGAAAACAACATCTATGGTCTACTTTTGCAGACACCAAGCACTAGCTGATGCCAGTTGATATTTTGATTAGTCATGAGCCATGACCAAGGGTTTCATCAAAGGCAAAGCCACCCATGTATTCATAATTCTCTCCAAACATTTAAAGTGGAGCGGCATGAATTTTCCCACAGCATTTGATTTGTACTATAATGAAGGCACATTAAAGATGATTTATCAACACAGTTGACTTTATATCTTGATATACATATGCAAGTATTTTATGAAAGACTTGTATAAGTGCACAACTATTTACACTCACCTAATTGATGTTTGTAGTTTATCATGTTCAAATGAGTCGCGGACTTTATGAGGTAACGATGACATTTTAATGTAGGAGCAATGAAAATAAAGAGGAAAGAAGGGTTTGGGAAGGGGGGGGGGAGGAAGATAACATAGAAGAAATAGAGTGGAGGCAGAGAAAGCCAAGAGAGAATAAAAGAAATTTATTCAATGATGAATCAAAAGGCTAAGCTATCCCTGCTAACATTATGAGGGCTTGACATAGAGCATAAGAGGCACTCCAAATAAGAAAAAGATTAAAGAATAATTAATTGAAGCCTAAAAATAATAATTCTGATTTAAAGTAACATTGAAGAAAATTCTAGACTTGTCCAATTCCGGTGTTTATCCTTAATTAATTGCTTAATCCCTTACTACTAATCATTACTATATCACCCCTATTATTCTTATCCCATTCTTCATTACAAATATTTATCAATGAATGGAATGCATACTCACATATCATGTCAAAAAACAAGTTGTGCCAGGGAGGCGCAGGTTAGGCATGCCTATGTAACATTCTATAAGATTAGTAAGCTGAAAATGTCTTTTACATGTATCGTTGTGTATATTTTACTTATGATTGATTTGACTTGATAGACAAAGCAAGACCACAAGATAAAGTCAAAACAACGAGTAAAAAGCTCATAAGGGCGAGATTATGATGTGATGCAGACATGCAAAGTATCTTTAGTCTCATCCCTAACTGTAAAGCATTTTATTAGATCAACTGGTACATCTGGTCAGACACTTCATATCATAAATCAAGATCTCAAATAACAAGCTGAAAAGCATTTTTGGACAGTGTCAGTGCAGCACATTGACAGCACGTGGTCAGACTGAACTCGAGTAGAATGCATCGTGTAATTTTTTTAATATATATATATATATATATTAGCGTGCAAAGTGAAAATGAGGCAGTTGGATAAAAGCTAAACAAGCCCATAATTAATAACACAAACAGTCACAAAGCAAAACCACAGCATAGGAACATAGAGAAGACTTACATGGAAGCCCTTGTTTACATTGACGATATGACCATAATGACAGGTCAGCTGCTCTGCACTTAGAGCAGATATCAGCTCCTGAAGAATCATGGCAGGTGATTTTTTTGGTGGACCGCCAATAGGCAACCTCTCATCTTGAGAGGTCAATTCCCTCAATTTCTCTTCTAGAAAAGCAGCTAAAACATCTCCTCTCAAATGTAAAGCTTGCTGGGAATATGTATTTATCTCATTCTTGTTCCTTGTCTCTTCCTTTTTGGCGGTAATACCAGTCTTGTGCTTCAATTGGGAATTAAATGCAAATGAAACTACATCATTGACCTTGTCAGTAGACTTGTATGATTTTCCCTGAGTAACTTGTTTCGGTATAACATTAGTACTGTCAAAGGAAGAAGCACTGATGTCCCTCCATTTTCCACCCACTGCATCACATCGAGCATTTCTCTGCTTCATGGTAGCTGAATTAACAGAAGCTGTACTTTCAACTTGAGCAATACCAGGGATCCTTCTTTTTCGTTCCATTGTCCTCACACGAGGCAAGGAATCAACCTGTCTATTACAAGGCTTCCTCTCTAGGTCAAACTTTGAAGCTTCCATTTTGGTAGGAGATCTCAATTTGCTTTGACCACTTAGGTTTCTGTTCAAAGCAACAAAGTCTTTGGTCTTACTTACCTTAGATCCAGGTGAAGTTCTTTCACTGCTTAAAATCTGTTCTTGTAGTTGAGTTTTGTGCCTGAAGGAAACAGAAGATGCATCATGCTCTATGGTCCTGCACGGTTGGTGCAATGAATTCCATGGTGCAGGACCTTCATGGAGCAGAGGCATTTTTCTGGCAGAGAGTTCATGACCAAGCTGTGTGTTACCTCTTCCATCTTCTGCAATATTCAATGCAATATGTCGTTGAGGTCTTAAAAGAACCACATCACTTTCTTGTTCATGAGGGGGCATAAGTGATCTAACCTTACTCTGTTCTGCCAAAGAGGAGGTATTGATCACTTCCGAAAAGGTAGGCGGAGGAACAGTTGGATGCTCCTCAGCATCAAGATTGCAGTCAATTACATCAAGCAAATTACCACAATTTTTGCAAGAAGCCTTCCCCATTAATCCCGTCAAAGGCTTGAATGCATTTGCATCATACCCAGATTGACTTTGTGGATTTGCTGACTTAATCCCTACCCTATCTGTCATCATATCATTCTTAGAAGCATATGCGGAACTTGAATATGTAAGAGAGCATTTTGCTCTGCTTGTAGCTTGCAGCCCAGGTTCCAAAATCTTAGTTGCTGCTCCTATTAACCTTGAGCTTCGAGACACATTCTTTCCAGAATTAATTTTAGGACCCTTCAACTGAGAAGCAAGCTTTGGGTGGTGATGATAACTATTATTGTGCTTTCTTGCTCGTGAGAAAACACTCTTAATTTGCAGGGCTTCGGCTCCAAACTTAGCCATTGCCTTTCTCTCATATGTCCCCGTTTTCTGAACCTTTTGAGGTCTTGAATCATGTCTCACAATTCTCGTTTCCAAATTACCAGCTTGCCCTTCTGACTCGCAATAATTACCCAGAGATTCATCCTTCCCATCACTACAAGTACCAGAAAAAGAAGCTTTCTCAGGTTTGTCTCGCTGATCAGCTGGAATAGATTCCAGACCCATCAGCCTAGCCACCAGACCGGGGACTCGCATATCGTCCTTTGGTTCTAATTCTAATCTACGATTCCCACCTTTCTTGGCACTTGGGAAGCCTCCTCTGTTTTCATTAGCAATCTATGATTCCAAAATAACCAATCAAAAAGTGTTCAGCACTTAACAAAACAAAAGGCAACAATATAAATATAAAGACCAACGAGCATGGATCAGGCTTACCAAGTGGAGCTTGGAATTTGGCATTCTTTCATCTCCTTTAAACTTTTTAGAAGCTTGTTTTGCACGAGCTGAGTAACAAAGATCAAACAATGTATAAGTACAATTCACAAAACATGAAGCACAAACCCAGTAAGAACGAGAAAGAGACCCGAAAAAACCAAAAAGAAGAAAAAGATAGACTGAAGAAAGGCAATTCTCGCCAACTACGAAGAGACTAACCAGGAGGCAGAAGTTTCTTAGAAAAGAGCTTCTTCTTCGCGAGCTTTCCATTCCAATCAAAGAGCTGAAAGAAAAGGCCAATGCAACCTCCGGGTCTTTGCTTCTTCTTCTTCTCAGTGATTGCCAAACACGAAGACGTCTTTCCAGAAGAATCATTCATTTCGGAATTAATTACTAGCACGAGAAATTATTACCTTCCTTGATAAAAACTAGATTTGTGATAAAGCTCCAGAAATCTCACAGAAACCAAAAATCATCCAAACCAGAAGACTCTTCTTTTTGCCTACATTATCAAAAGAAATCTACTGAAACCCATCTCTCGTTCTTCCAAAACTCAAACCTAATATTTTTTTACCCCAAATTGCACCCATTTCCAAACCTCAGGACCCCCAAACAACTAAATCACTTGTGGAAACTCCGTACAATAATGTCATGCGCAAAAGACATGTAACACCCTGCAAAATCCCTGAGTCCCCCACGATAGCCTGAAGCAGAAAGCAACGCTTGAGCGAGAAAGAACGGACCCACTCACAAAGAACAGAACATAACAGACCCGTCACGCTTTCTTTCTATAGTTCCACAAGCAAAAGAGGGATAGCGTTTTCGGTACAAAGCAAAAACAAGGTCCCTTGTGAGACGCCAAAATCAAAAGCATAAAAAGCTCTGAAAAAAATAATAATAACAACACTAGGATTATTGAGAATCATGCAATTCGATGTAATTTTTGTGAACCCCGAGACAGAAATTCAGCTCGAGACTCTGCCATTGACAGCGGAACGAAGCTTTTTATGACTCTCCTCTGCTTGTGGCGCCATCTTATGGAGCCCAGCCGTAGTGATAGTGTGCGTGCATGCGCGTGTTTTGAACAGCGCGTAAGAAGGATTAACGTAAAGAGACAAAATGGCCACCCACGCTCGGCGAAGCATTGGTCAACTCAACAGCAGATATTAAAATATATTAGATTCAAGGTAACAAATCTTAAACTTTACCCTACAAAGAATATATATTTAAAAATTAAGAATTATTTTCATTTTAATTATATAAAATTAATTAAATCTCTATTAGATATATTCACTGTCTAATAGTAATAGATATATATTTAGAATAGATTAGAATTAGAATCAAAAATAAAGTTGTTTGTAAATAAAAATATATTGATATATAAATTTTTAGAGAAAATGACAAAAAAATTACCCAAAATATAGCTAATTGTTAAAAAAAAATTCCTACCACTAACAACCAAAGAATTATGAGGAAACGACTTGAAAATTTAATGATTTAAGTGTTAGAAAACTCACTTTGTTTAAAGGAGAAAGATATTTTTTAAAAAATTAGATGTTCAAAAAATATACTAAGACATTTTTAATCTTTTAAAGTATAATCATTTTTTTAAAGTGTTTATATTGAATAAATTATTTTATATTTTTTAATGTAAACATTCTATTAAATAAAGATAAATATATAAAGATAGAGTTAGTTTAAAAATAAGTAACTGCTTTATTAAATATAAATTAAAAATACCTTATATTTTTTAACGGAATAAAAGAATACTCGATATGAAGAAAAATGACCAATTTATTTTAAGAAATAATTTTAACTATATGAAGTGCTAACAAAGTCTTAAACAATGAAATTAGAAGCTAAATTTTAAGATAGTAGTTATGATTCCTTAAAGATTTTTAAAAGATAAGAAATATGATCATTCAAAAGTCAAAACAAATAAAAATTTATCATTCAAATGTTTATGTAAAAAATAAATAAATGCTTGTTTTATTTATCATTCAAAAGTCAAAACACTGGTTAACCAATTTGTTTGTAAAACTATTATTAAATATAAAAATTTCTTTTCAAATTATTTAAATATATGATATTTTTAAATTTTGATTATGATTTTTAAAAATGTTATAATAAATCCCTGTAAAAGTAAGACTTCATAGTATACTAATTTTTGGTCTAAATATAATTGCTAAGATCCTTTACTATATTGAGTCAGAAACTCCTTAATATTGTGGCAAAAAAAAAAAACCTCCTTAATATAATTTTTATTTAATTTGAATTCTTGATTCTTGAATGTGATTTTCTTTGGGTAAACTTGAATACTAATTGTTAAATAGATATTTAGTTTAGACGATATCATGTAAATAAAATAATTGTTTAAGGTATGAATATTTAAATTTTACCGATAAATGTCCTTATAGTAAGATTTAGATTCTCTTGCATAAATATTCCTGAAAGTAACTAAATTTCTTTCAAGATGATCCCCAATTAACCTGTAGTTACTGGCTGCTATTGTTGATATTATTTTTCAAGGTATATCCAATGAATGAAATGAAAGATCTAAAAAAATATAATTAGCATATAAAAGAATTTAATAAATTATATTTATTAATGAAATTAAATCCAATGAAAGTAGACAAGAAATAAAATAAAAAAAATATTGGGAACAGTTGAAATAGATGAAGATCACGTGAATTTGACAACCGTCCTATTTAGCTTGCCTCAATGTTTGCATGTGCTAACAATTTTATCAACAGTTCGAAACTGTTAACATTTTTGTTTTTATTCCATTTCAAACCTCAACGCATCAATAACTGTTTTCTCATCTTCTATTTATCAGTAATTTTTCTAAGCAGGACTTAATTTTGAATAGTGACATATAATTAAAAAAACGGATGAATATTCCATTGAAATCTACTGTATCAATAAGCTGTTCAGCTTCAAAGTCTCGTTTTGAATAGAATATTCATTTTCAGATAAGAAAAATAGAACATTCATTATTTTTTTTTGATCACATAACTCTCATCCTATTATATATGGCACTTTCTAGAAAAATATTTTGGTACCTAATATAAAGTTCTTGATATATTACTCTTATTTAAACTTATTATTATGAAAGAAAATGTAACGTGAATTTAAAAATTTTTCATTTAAAAAAATTAAAAATTTATTCTATTTTTAAACAAAATTAATAACTTAATCACTCCTCTTATATTATAGTGAGGTAATTACATGTGCCTTATAATAGAAATCAAATGGAGTGTATAGAAAAAAAGAAATTGACAAGTCTTGAAAGAGTAAATTAATGATGATTATGTCCTAAATAAAATTTTTAAAAATTAAATTATAAATATTAATTTAAAAAATTGTAAACAGGAATCTCAATTATAAATTGAGAATTATATTTAAAATTTAAATATTTTATTTATAATTATAATTCTAGACTTGCTATTATTTAAATTAATATTGGTAACTTATTTTTTAAAAAATTATTAAAATAACTAATTTAGCAATTTCAGCTTTTAAACTGTCATTCTACGCGTATATTTTTCGCTTTAGTTTAAAAAAATTCAAATTTTGTTTGGTTGTCAATTTTGCTTTGGCTGGCTTAGACGGCTGGATGTAACTTAGCCATATTAGGTGGGTCCTGGTCTGGTCCCCAAACAAAATGACAGCGTCGGGCATGGTCTAAGGACCATGGTGGTCCGAGCACTTGCCAACCTATTTCATCCATTGTATCAGAGACTATAAACTAATTAATTGTGTGCATTGTACCTTCAATAAAATTTAAATTGAGTTGTATTACTATCTATGTCTAATGTATATTATTCAAAGAGTGTGCCTTTTATGCTAACGGCGAGTTGCCTCAACAACAATGCTACATACTTGTAGCTCTGAAATCTAAATCCTACTTTGGCATTTGGGTGCACGTGTGTTTAAATTGAACATATGAAAAAAAAAAAAAAAGGCAGAGAGAGAGAGTGTGTGCCTTTTATTGATTTTATGTCATGCATATTATTAAATATATTAAATATTAATAATATATTGATCGATTGCTTACATGCCATCCTTTATATTGTATAAATTTTTAAAAATAATACTCTTTTCGTCTTAAATTATAAGATATTTTTAAATAAAATATCACATATTAATAAAGTTCATTTAATATACTTCACAGCTTTACTTTTTCAAAACGTAAATATAAACTTTAAAACATATCATTGATTTAATATTTCATTAATAAAATAATATTGAATAAAGATAATATTAAAAAAGTATCATTAATGAAATTTATTTTTATTAAAGTATTTTACATTTTGGGACACTGAATCTTTACTAAAAGCGTCTTATAATTTGAAACGGAGGAAGTATAATTTTATAAAGGGTAAAAGAGTAAATTGTCCCTTAAACTATAAATTCAAAAGCTTCTAAAATTTCAAACTTATTTTTAACACAATGTTCTCCTTTAATTTTTTGAAAACAATAAAATCTAAATCATATTATTTAGCAAAGATTAACTTTAACTATTGATTAACAAAAAATGATAGAAAAGAATCTTAAAAACTACACTAAAAGATCCAAAAAAATTGCAAACAATAATTCAAAAATTATAAAAAATGATTAAAAAAATTTTATCAGTGCTTTCTACAAGTAATCTTTTAACAAGTAGTGTAAATGATTTTACAATTTAAGATAATGGCTTAACAAGTAATATATTGAACTCACTATATTGACTTTACAAGTAACAAGTCATAGACATAGTAAGTAACATAAGAGAATTAATAAGTTAAATAAAGTTTTTTTTTAATAAAGAAGAGGGCTAAACCCATTACATCATAGAGAAATTACATGGTGTGAGATTGAAATCCTGATCTACCATAAGAAACTAAGCTCCTTATGAAGTTAGGAGCAACAACAAATAAAGAAGAGTAAGAAATTCCTTCATTTGCAAGCTTGTTTGCCATTCATAACTTCCCAAAAGGACAATGCTACTCCACATTGCTATTTTCCTTTCCCCTACCAATCTGCTTAACAAGGTTTTTACAATCAGAGTCAAGTAAAACCTTCCTAGAGCCAAAAGTCAAGCAAAAATTTTAATTAGTAAGGTAGTTGAGTTTATAAGTATTGAAAAAGTATATTTTAATTATTTGTTTTAAAATTTTATTTCAACACATACTCAAAATCATGTAGTGAGATTTCATATTGTGTTAGGTCTAATTCTCCATACAAGTTAAAAGCACTTTTGTATATAGCAACTCTTGACAATGAATGAACTTGCTCAAAATTCAAAATTAACTTATTGACAAGAATACCTTGACTGACTATGACATGCTGCGAAGATTGTCAAGAAGTCAAAGTGTGTACTTATTAATAAATAATTTTATTGTATATTTCATCATACTTACCCTTAGGTCCCTTGGCATTCTATAGTATAGAGTGGCTACACATTACTCTCTCCGATTTTATTTATAAATTATTTTTATTAATTTTATCAATATCAATACAATAAAAGTATAAGAAATAAAACTTAGTAAAATTACAAATAAAACCCTCAACAAGTAAATAAATCATATAATATTATTTTTCTGTTTCTCTCTCTTACTTTTTAAGGATAGTTTAGACATTTTATTTGAAACAAAACATCATTATCAATCTAATGATTTATAAAGTGAATCACTTCATCATTATAGAAAGTGACTAATAAAATGAATCGGAGAGAACATTATAAAGATTTAGTTATTGCTTGGCTAGTTTTTCATGGCTGATTGACTCTTTTGCAAGATGATTTTTTCAATCTTTTTCAAGACCACTCGGAGACATATCAAAAGTCAATAGGTTATGTTGACTTTGTTAATGATTCTGTTAAAACATCTTTTTAACAAACTAGCAAGAAACTTAGGTTGGTCTATAAACTTAGGGTGGCTGTATTATGTGCGATGATCTTTGTTGCTTGGCAGGATAGGAATGCTTTGATATTACTTAGATCTGTCATAGGATTGTATATGATATGAAAATT